TATGACTACTTGCATTATTTACATTATTCGGACTGTTATCCTTATCTTCATTGCCATATTCACAACGTTTCGGCCGTTATACACTTGGGCCTTCTTCAGGTGATTAGAATTTCGAACCGAACCCCTTGTGCCATAGCTCTTCCGGATATCTCAAATATTCCCCTTTGACTCAACTCCAAGTTTTTGGTTCACCACTGCCTGGTATTGAACTCACAACTCTTGGGGTCTGGTCACTGGATCTAATCAACGCCTTTAACCACTAAAACCATATTTATTTATTTATTTTCGATTTCCTTTCATTTGCCTTCAGACTATGATTCCTTCTTTCATGTTTTTTCTTCTTCTTCTCTCTTTCGTTTCATCGTCTTTATTTGATTCTTTCTCTTTTTTTATATTTTTCTTTCTTTTTCCTTTCGACTTTTATTCTTCCTTTCTTTCCTTAAACCCTCGTCCCTTTTCTCGCGTTTTTTGTCCTTTTTTTTTACGCCGTCTTCATTTCTTTCTTCTTTCATTTTTTTGGGGACAGTCTCCCATTCTATGCCTTTCTTTCTTTCTGTCTTTAAAACCCCTTTACTTTCTCTCTTTTTACATCATCTTTATTTATGTCTCTTTCCTTTAGACAGTCTTTCGTTCTTTGGTATTATTGCTTTACATCATCTATCTAGCTATCTAACTAGCTCGCTATCTATCTATCTATCTATCTATCTATCTATCTATCTATCTATCTATCACGGTCTTTTATCTATTTATCTGTCTATCTTGGTCTTTTCATTATCTATCTATCTATCTATCTATCTATCTATCTATCTATCTATCTATCTATCTATCTGTCTGGCTCATTCTTCTCATATCTATCTAACCCATGTCGATGTCTATCTATCTATCTATCTATCTATCTATCTATCTATCTATCTGGCTCATTCTTTTCATATCTATCTAACCCATGTTGATATCTATCTATCTATCTATCTATCTATCTATCTATCTATCTATCTATTTGTCTGTCTGTCTCGGTCTTTTCATTATCTATCTATCTTTTTCTTTGTTTCTTTCCTTTCGGCCCTCTGTCAATTTTTGATTCTTCCTTTGTTTCTTGTTCTTTCTTCATTTACACCCACTTTATGTCTAGGTATTTTCATTATCTATCTATCTATCTATCTATCTATCTATCTATCTATCTATCTATCTATCTATCTCGGTTACTTCATTGTCTATCTATCTATCTATCTATCTATCTATCTATCTATCTATCTATCTATCTATCTTTTTCTTTGTTTTGTTTTCCTTTCGCCCCCACCCTGTCAATTTTTTATTCTTCCTTTCTTTCTTTTCCTTTCTTTCTTCCTTTACACCCTCTTTATGTCTGGGTTTTTTCATTATCTATCTATCTATCTATCTATCTATCTATCTATCTATCTATCTATCTCATTCTGTTCATTATTATCTATCTATCTATCTATCTATCTATCTATATATATATATATATATATATATATATATATATTATGTTCATTATATATCTATATCTATCTATCTATCTATCTATCTATATATATATATATATATATATATATATATATATATATATATATATATCATTCCGTTCATTATCTATCTATCTATCTATCTATCTATCTATCTATCTATCTATCTATTTTTTCCTTGCTTTTCTCCTTTCCCCCACCCCGTCAATTTTTGATTCTTTCTTTTTCTTTCTTACTTCATTTACACCCTCTTTATTTTTTCTATTGTCTTTTTTTTTTTGCTGTAGGCAGTCTTTCATTCTTTCTTTTCTTTTTTTTTGCGACATCTTTCTTTTCTTTCTTTTTCTCTCTCTTTTTTTAAGCCCAATTCTTTTCCTTTCTTTTTTTTTTGTCAGCGATTTTATTTATTTTTCCCCTTCTTATCTTAAAGCACTCTCATTATTCATTTGTCTTTTTCTTTCTTCACCCTATAGTTCTTTCTATCATTCTTTCTTCCTTTTCTTTTCCTCGGTCGATGACGCTCTATATTGGGTCGTGTACGCTGACCTTGCCAGCAGTTTTTGTCGATGAATGAGGCTCTTTAGTTTTCTTCTTGTTCGCTTATCAAATTATTCTATCAAAAAATGGCGGCGGGGACGAAGCTACTTTTTTCAATTTTTTTTTTTTTTTTTATCACTTAGCTGAGTGTTTGAAATAATCTAGTTATCGCGTTTTCCCATCACCGTCTAAACACTTGTTGCTTAACCAATCTTCGCCTAAACACCTCCAACGTCCACACAACCTCACCAACATTTTATGTCGCCACCCACTTCGTCGCGAACATAGTAACTCTTTTCAATGGCGCTGAATTTCTTTTCAATTACTTCTTTCTTTTTAACACATTCGACAACATAGATTTTTCTTCTTTTTTTATTCATTTTTATGTATTTATTCATTTATTTATTTACTTATTATTATTATTATTATTATTTGCTTTCTCAGCAATAATTTTAGGTGCGCACTTGACCTGATGATTTAAAACCATGACGGAAAATGAAATCGGCAAAAAAGGTTCAATTCTTGCTTGGGGTATTTGTTGGCCTAATGATTAAAACCATGACGAAAATGAAATCGGCAAAACAAGTTCAATTCTTGCTTGGGGTATTTGTTGGCCTAATGATTTAAAACCATGACGAAAATGAAATCGGCAAAACAAGTTCAATTCTTGCTTGGGGTATTTGTTGGCCTAATGATTAAAATATGACGAAAATGAAATCGGCAAAACAAGTTCAATTCTTGCTTGGGGTATTTGTTGGCCTAATGATAAAAAAAAAACCATGACGAAAAGGAAATCGACAAAACAAGTTCAATTCTTGCTTGGGTATTTGTTGGCCCTAATGATTTAAAACCATGACGAAAATGAAATCGGCAAAACAAGTTCAATTCTTGCTTGGGGTATTTGTTGGCCTAATGATTAAAATATGACGAAAATGAAATCGGCAAAACAAGTTCAATTCTTGCTTGGGGTATTTGTTGGCCTAATGATTTAAAACCATGACGAAAAGGAAATCGGCAAAACAAGTTCAATTCTTGCTTGGGGTATTTGTTGGCCTAATGATTAAAATATGACGAAAAGGAAATCGGCAAAACAAGTTCAATTCTTGCTTGACTAATGATTTAAAACCATGAAAAATGAAATCGGCAAAACAAGTTCAATTCTTGCTTTATTTGTTGGGGGTGATTTAAAACCATTGGCCTAATGATTTAAAACCATGACGAAAAGGAAATCGGCAAAACAAGTTCAATTCTTGCTTGGGGTATTTGTTGGCCTAATGATTTAAAACCATGACGAAAATGAAATCGGCAAAACAAGTTCAATTCTTGCTTGGGGTATTTGTTGGCCTAATGATTAAAATATGACGAAAATGAAATCGGCAAAACAAGTTCAATTCTTGCTTGGGGTATTTGTTGGCCTAATGATTTAAAACCATGACGAAAATGAAATCGGCAAAACAAGTTCAATTCTTGCTTGGGGTATTTGTTGGCCTAATGATTAAAACCATGACGAAAAATGAAATCGGCAAAACAAGCTCAATTCTTGCTTGGGGTATTTGTTGGCCTAATGATTTAAAACCATGACGAAAATGAAATCGGCAAAACAAGTTCAATTCTTGCTTGGGGTATTTGTTGGCCTAATGATTTAAAACCATGACGAAAATGAAATCGGCAAAACAAGTTCAATTCTTGCTTGGGGTATTTGTTGGCCTAATGATTAAAACCATGACGAAAAATGAAATCGACAAAACAATTTCAATACTTGCTTGGACTATTTTTCGTAATGATGTGTCTCTAAAGACTGTCTATCATAACCTTCTAGAGATTAATTTCTTCATTATATACGAAATTCCAATATAATCTGAGAATTGGTTCTATGTCTGCCTTTCTTATTTTAGCGTAAACCTGAACAGTGTCAATATTTTTTAAATATGGCTAAACTTGATCTATATGTATTTTTATTCTGGTATAAACCGAACCTATGCCTCTCGTTTAGTTCAAGTTTATACGTGACTTTTGACTGTTTTTTAATTTTAAAGTAAACATAGCTTATATCTAACCTTTAAATTCTAGTGTAAACATGACCTCTGTCAGTCTTTAGGAGTGTCGTGTCAACCTGACCTAGTGTAAACATGACCTAGGTCTCCCTTTAGTAGTCTCGTCTTATAAACGTGACCCATACCTATCTTTTTTACTTTCATGCAAATGTGACCTCTTTCTACATATTTTGACACAAAACGATTTTAACCTCTTCTTTTTCTAGCTGAATAACTCAAAGGATTTTTCTGTGGTTCCGACGTCAAATGGTGTCAAAGATGGCTAAACGTCTCGTCTGAAAACCTGGAAAAAAGAAACTCACTTCGTGGCAGTGGAGAACTTTCAGAGGGAAATTAACAGGAGATAGCTGATAACTGACATCCATTAAAAACATGTCACGTGGAACTAGAACAGTCTCCCCCAGTGAGCGAAATAAAGGGTTCAGTTCGACATACCAACCACCTGAAGAAGGCTGGAGCGTACAACGGCCGAAACGTTGTAATAAATATGGCGCCAAAGATGAGCACAATATTCCGAATAATGTAAATAATGTACATAATACCTCATCTCAGAAATATAGACTGATATTTTATCTGTTTGCTAATACACATATACCTGTTTGTACATGTCATATATATATATATATATATATATTGTGTGTATTTAGGCAACATTTTTCCATTCATACCTGTTTCATTAAATAGTATAGACAAGTGTTGTCTATTTATTTTACGCAAATTCTTTTCATGACGTCTGATACCCTTAATAACATTATCATTAAACGAAGAAAGAACACATGACCATGCGAGAGTGAATTCGAGAAGTATTAAGTATGGGAAACCGTTGGTATAAACCATTGGCTTCTGTTACCAATTATAGACATTTAAGGATATTTGTGGAGATTTCATAGCTTATTTTGTTTAGGTTTGGTTTCAACTGTTTTATTTATATAGCTTCATGAATTTATAGTTTTTGTTTATTGTTTTCATGTTTAAGTATTTTCAACAAGGATTTTACGGAATTGTGTGTGCGGCCAGGCATGTTTTTTAAATACATAAAAATGTTAGAGTTTTCATTCAAATGTAATGTCAAGCGTCGTGAAAGGGAGTTTGTGGTGTGACCAACATAAATATTATTTAATTCGTTGGAGATACAATCTCCCAAAGGGCACTTGAATTTATAAACTATGTTGGTTTTTTGCAAATCGCTAACCGGGGGAGAAGAATCATTGCGAAGAATTTAGTTGGATATACTAGATTTAGTGTAGTATATGATTAACTTAATTTTTTTGCTAGGATCTGTTGTTGATATATTAGTATTTACTAATTTTTTTAGTATATTTTCATCTTGTTTATAATTAGTATGCATTTGATTACGATATAGGAGATTAATATATTTGAGATTAGTAGAAGCAGTATTATGTACTATTTGCTTAGTATTGAGATTTCTAAGAAAGCGAAATAGTAAAATTTGTTATTATTTGTGTTTATCAATATGTCAAGGAAGGGAATTTTATTAGTAGTATTTTCATATGTGAATTTAAGGACAGAATTATTTTGGAAACGTTTTTGAAGTTGAAGTATTTCATCTGTATTTTTAATTAACATAAGAATATCATCAACGTATCTTAGGTAGATGGATGTTTTTTTTTGTTTTTTTTTAAATCTGTAAATATCTTATTTTCGAGGTTCAACATGTAGAAATTGCTAAATGTCTCGGACAAAAATTCGCCCAAAACTCCATAATAAGGATCATTCTACCTCCCCAGACGTGACTCTGCCCTTCGGCATAGTCTCGTCTAGATTTCTTTCTCTCCAAAGGCAGAGAGTTTGACAAGTCTGCCCGAACTACATGAATCAGCAGATCGGGACAGAGTCAGATAAAACCGAGAACCTGCCTATTTTATATTGCTAGAAAAAAAAATCCCAGCATGCATTCTTGTGCTTCTGCCTATAAAATGGAGAGTGGCCAGTGTTTTTACCGTTATTTATAGAAATCAATAATTTCTGACCTGAGCATACACTTCCCCGCCGAGAGATTGAAGTCACCATTATTATTTTACCAAATTCACAAAGAAAGGCTTTAATACAGTGGGACAATTTTCTGTGGTGAAATTGGAAGCTTAAAAATAACCTGCTTGCTGATTAGCGTTGCCGTTGAAGACTTCGTATCATTTGTCTTGCTTTCTTTATTAATGCCTCCCATATTGTACTGATCTATGTCGACGTGACGTGGCTTCCCTCTGTCTTTTTTATGAACATTTTCATGGCAATTGCTCTGACGAGCTTTTTTTCCCCTAGTGCTCCAACTACAAGCGTGCCACTAGATTGGCATCTATTTCCCACCCTTTTACTGTTAAAATTGTTCAATGTAACCGGCGACTTCTACTCGAACAGATTCTTTTCTCGCACACCCCACCTACGAAACTCCCCTCCGTTTACTGGCTACCCTTGATAAATACAGCCTTCAAAAATGTAAATGCAACGTCAATCGCCATCTTCTATCTTCTTGAATCTCGTTCATCTTTTATCCTTCCTTTAATCGTCACTATTCCCAGTATTTTACCACACTTGCTTAGTGTGAAATGATTTTTTTTTTTTTAACTGTAATTGTATAAATAAGCTGTTGGATTGCTAGACATTGCTGGCAATTTCGCTTACCGCCGGTAGATGTCGGCGAAATCAGCGTTAGAAAAGTGAACGACTGACACCTCTTTTTTTTTTCTTCTTTTCTTTTTTTGGCTTCGGGATACTTATGTCCACCGCGAGACATGACCTTTCTCGGGCAGGCCGACTACTTGATTTCCCAAAACCAAGTGGCGAACTCACACACACACACACACACACACACACAGACACACACACACACACACACACACACACACACACACACACACACAATCAATATCGCTATTAAATGTTTTTCTCCCCTTTCTCTGCGTGTTGTCTATCTATATACACAAGTATATGCTTGCACCGTGTTGTTCTTTATATAAACATATATTATTCACGTGTTCATCTATCTATCTCAGTTTGCTCATGATCTGTCTGTCTGTCTGTCTGTCTATCTATCTATCTATTCATATAGATCACTATCCATTCGTATCTATCTATCTCAGTTTGTTCATATCTATCTATCTATCTATCTATCTATCTATCTCGGTCTGTTCATATCTATCTATCTATCTATCTATCTATCTATCTATCTCAGCCTGCTCATGATCTATCTATCTATCTATCTATCTATCTATCTATCTATCTAAGTTTGCTTATGATCTATCTATCTATCTATTTTACTTTATTCATTATCTATCTCAGTCTGCTCATGGTCTATCTATCTATCTATCTATCTATCTATTTCACTTTATTCATATCTATCTATCTATCTATCTATCTATCTATCTATCTATCTATTTATCTATCTATCTATTTCACTTTATTCATATCTATCTATCTATCTATTTTACTTTATTCATTATCTATCTCAATCTGCTCATGATCTATCTATCTATCTATCTATCTATCTATCTATCTATCTATCTATCTGTCTATTTCACTTTATTCATATCTATCTATCTATCTATCTATCTATCTATCTATCTATCTCCAAATATGCATTTCTCTCCTCTGTCGCACCATATTGTTATTTAGATAAGGATATATAAAGGCCACTTAATGTGTAGTCACACTCGGCCAAGCGAGTTTCAAAATTAGCATTACTTCATCACCTGGGGGGTGGAGAATTCACCCAGACGTTACCTCTCATTCAAAAAAGGGGAAGTACTCATCACCTGGTCACTGAGGTATCCCCCAGAAAGAGAAACGGTAGGACAATGTTCGAACGGCAGCCGAAATCCCACTTTAAACTCGGCCATGTGTCACATTCTTTTCGTGTAGGGTCATATATAAATACCTGCAAACTTTTCAACCTCTTTTGCATAAATCCTTAACACCTTGGGCTATAGAATCTTTTCAGCAGGAATTTCTCTCGTGATTACTTTACCCGCTAAGGCAGTAGAATTAAAAAAGCTTTTCACGCCCATAATTAACGCCGAGAGAGACCAGTTATAAGAAGGCTGCCTTCATCACGATATGATGCCTACTCAAATTAATATGAAAGTATTTGCGAGTTATTTTCTATTGGAGAAAAGCAAATGTTTAGTAAAGGAAAGTTTAACTTCATAAAAAATGATTTAACTAAGACTACGTTCTGCTGTCGTGATCCAAAAAGAAATGGCTGGCCTAAGCAATTTTGACTTCAGATTTTAGGCGCGGCGTAGCACATGAGAAGTATATATATTCTGGCGACACTTGAAATAATAATGATTCAATTAGCCCAGGGTTATTCTCGTGCTGTGTAATTCGTTTTGAAATGATCAGTACAGAGCGTCTAACTTGAAAAGAAACAATCCTACTGTTATATCTATATATATATATATATATATATATATATATATATATATATATATATATATATATATGCTTTTTTAAAATTTCAGTGAGGAAAATCGAAAGGCCCTCCGCAACATTCATCTTAGAACAAGAAATAAGTCAGTTTTGCCACATGATCAATGCTGTATGTTATTTATTCAATATTTACAAATCTACCATTCGTACGAGTATTGAATACTGCTACCATATATCTTGCCTAGTCGTCCTGCTATTCATCTCGATGTTCTTGACTAAATCCAAAACTAAAAAAGAAAAAAAAAAGGATTTGCAATCTAATGTATCCTGACCTAACATCTCGACTTCAGTTACTTTCTCACCGACGCGACGTGATTTCTCTCTGTCTATTCTACAAATATTTTCATGGCAAATGCGATGACAATCTTTTTTTTTCTGTTATCCCTACTACATGAATTTAAGCGTGCTACAACATTGGCATCTAGTTCCCACCGGTTTATTGCTGAGATAGTTAAATGCAACCACCATTTCTACCCCAGCAGTTTCTTTTTTCGCACTTCCCATTTGTAGAAATCGCTTTCGTTTACTTGCTTCACAGAGAACTATAATCTTCAAAACATTAAATGCAACGCCAGCCGCCATCTTGTGTCTTCTTGAATGACGTTCATTTTTTGTCTTTTCTTCAGTCCTCTCTATTCTCATTCCTTTCTCGCCCTGCAACTCCGTATGTACCAGTGGCATCACCACCATGTTTGGGGTAGAAGATTTTAAAAAATGAATCTAGGTACGCACAATAGCGTCTTATATTAAATAACGAATGTTACAGAATAAATTTTATACTATATCTTAGTATAAGTTTGGAGATAATAAGATAAATTTGTTATGTATCTTATTTATGTGTGTTGAGTTAGGAAATTATGGCTTTCCACAACTTCCTGTCATCTGTAGCTCTTAATAAATTTTGTCTTTTCGTTATATCTCCTAAATCCTGTTCCACCATCCATTTACTTAAACTCATTTTCTTCTGTGTCGTGTCCCTTCAAGACGTAGGCGATCATGGCTCTCTACAACTTCCTGTCCTTTGTAGCTCTTATTAAATTTTGTCTTTTCGTTTTATCTCCTAAATCCTGTTCCACCATCCATTTACTTAAACTCATCAAGTATGTTAAGCGCTTTCTGTCCTCCTGCCCTCAATATGTCCTGTGAGTATCATATTTTCTAAGCCTTCCTTCCTCATTATGAGCCTCAGAAATATCATCTGTTTCTTCCTGATGTTAAGTGCAAGTTTCTGTTTTGTTTCCATTTTTTTCTAAAACCTCATCGTTGCTCACATGTCCGGTCCATGGTATCCTCAGCATCCTCAAGTAGAAGTGTTTTCACTCAGCTTTAAAAAAAAAAAAGCCTTGTTTTAAAATGTGCTTTTTTTATCGTATATTCTGTCCAGCTGCTGTCGTTTATCTCGCACACCCAGACAGTGATTTTGCTGTGGGCCCACATCCATGCCGAATGTGACACAGTGTCGCATTTAAAGACCACAGCAAAAATTCTAAAAAGCCCACCCCATTGTTGGATGTCGCCCACCCCATTGTTGGATGTCGCCCACTTGGGCTTGAGCGAATATTATTGACAAAGGACTGAACACAAATGCCAGTCAGCATACCATACTCGGATACCGAGGATATTTTTTAGCGGGCCCTTGTCACGACCGAATACAAGTTTTTTTTTTTAAGCATTTCACCCCATACAAGGCAAGAGTGCCACTAGTACGCAAGGACTTACAGAGATTGAGAGCAAGATAAAAAAAAGTGGTGTTTGAGGAAAGGATATAGAGAAGAACTTGGGATCAGGATCAAGGCATCAGAAGATGTCAATTGACATTACATTTAAATATTTGAAAATTATAGCTATCATGGAAGCAAGTAAGAGGAAGGGAGTTCCACTGTCAGGAAGTGCAAGTGAAGAAGCTGTTGGGGCAGAAGAGACGATTACATTTAACCGTTCCAACTGTGAAGGGTGGGACCGAGATGCCAACCTAGCACGCTTAAATTCATGCAGTTGAGGAACCAGTGAAAGTAGCTCGTCAGGAGAGTTGTCATGAAAATACTTGGAGAAAAGGCAGAGGGAAGCCACATCACGTCTACGAGGAAGTGACAGAAGTCGAGATCGAGATTAAAACTGGGTTTAACGGCAATAGTGTAGGAAAAAATATCCAAGCCCCCTCAGCAGTTCCCCCTTTGGAGACACTTCAGGCACCGGCCAATAACCCCACGCACCCCTACTGAATGAGGTGTATTTCTGGGTGGGATGGCTCTACAGAGCGCTTAAGCACGTAATATAATATATGCCTTCGTTTCTTTTATGAGCCGTGTCTTTTCAGGACGTAGGTGATCATGGCCCTCCACTTCTCCTATCCATTGTAGTTCTCAATACGTTTTATCCTTTTGCTACAGACCCTTTTCTGCTGTCCGATTGCTTAATATGTCACGCGATGTCTCTCTTTTCCTTTATCAACCCTGTGAGTATCAGATTCTCCAAGCCTTCCTGCCTCTTCCTGATGAGTATATGCTTCCTCTGTGTTTGCATCCTCTTCAAAACCTCACCGTTTCTCACACGCTCGGTCCATGGTATCCTTATCATCCTTCTGTAGAACATATCGCTCTTGCCTCGAATGTCTTCTGAATCTTTGAAGAGACCGTCACACATTCGTTGCCGGAAAGGAGGAGAGATATTACGTCGCAGTTCAGTAGTCTTTTCTTTGTTACCAACGAATCATCCTTTCTCGTACGTTCCGCACCTGCTTGATTTTAGTGTCACTGACATATGCTTTAGCTATGCTAATTAGGTGGTCATTTAAATATCACTACAAAGATCTTAATTGAAATAGGAAGATTGAAAATACACTCAGCACAGCAGATATTAAAACACAAAGTAAGGAATTGATAATTGTTTACAAAAAGTTATTTGATACATCGGTAATATTTGGGAATCATCATAATTGGACATCTTTAGTATCAAAGACAGGAATTTGAAAATTTGAAAGGAAATCATCTGAAAATGATGATAAAATTTAACAACAGGAAGATCTATTATGTTTTCGTTTGGTTTGGTTTAGTTTGTTTTACGGCATATCAGCCTCAATGAGTTATTTAATGCCGACAAGAGTTTTATTGTTAGTAATATTTTTTTCAAAAATGTATTGCTGCTAATGTTTGTTTTTTTCAAAAAATATATTGTTGGTAATATTATTTTCCTTTAAAAATGTATTGCTGTTAATATTTATTTTTTCAAAAATGTATTGCTGGAAATATTTTTTTTTTTTAAATCTATTGCTGGTAATATTTTTTTTTTCAAAAATGTATTGTTGGAAATATTTCTTTTTCAAAAAAAAATCTAATATTTTTTTCAAAAATGTATTGTGTTAATTTTTTTTCAAAAATGTATTGCTGTTAATATTTTTTTTTTCAAAAAATCTATTGCTGGTAATATTTTTTTTTCAAAAATGTATTGTTGGAAATATTTTTTTTTCAAAAAAATGGTAATATTTTTTTAAATGAAACTGGTAATATATATTTTTAAAAAAATGTATTGCTGGTAATATTTTTTTTAAATGAATTACTGGTAATATATATTTTTTTAAAAAAAATGTATATTTTGTTTTTCAAAAATGTATTGTTGGAAATATTTTTTTTTCAAAAATCTATTACTGGTATATATATATTTTTTTAAAAATTATTATATATTTTTAAAAAATGTAATAATTTTTTTTTCAAAAATGTATTGTTGGAAATATTTCTTTTTCAAAATCTATTGCTGGTAATATTTTTTTTTTAAAAATGTATTGCTGGTAATATTTTTTTAAATGAATTACTGGTAATATATATTTTTCAAAAAATGTAATATTTTTTTTTTTCAAAAATTATTGCTGGTAATATTTTTTTAAAAATGTATTGCTGGTAATATTTTTTTAAATGAATTAATGGTAATATATTTTTTAAAAAAATCTATTGCTGGTAATATTTTTTTTTAAAAATGTATTGTTGGTAATATTTCTTTTTCAAAAATGTATTGTAATTTTTTTTAAATGAATTACTGGCAATATATTTTTAAAAAATGTATTGCTGGTAATATTTTTTTTTTCAAAAATATTTCTTTTCAAAAAAATGTATTGCTGGTAATATTTTTTTAAAAAATGTATATATTTTTTAAAAAAATTTTTTTAATATTTTTTGAATGAATTGGTGGCAATATATTTTTTAAA